GGCAAAGTGGTTAGCGTTGCTATTTTGCAGAACTGGGGCCCTAGGTTAAATTCCTGCCATCCTGTGTGTGTGGAGTTCCCATGTTCCCTCTGGGTTCCGTGGGTTTTCTCCATATGTGTGATATGATTCCCTCTCAAAGTCCAAAACATACTGGTAGGTTAATTGGCTTAAAGGAAAACTGACCCGTGTGTGTGTCTGTTTGTCCTGTGATGGACAGGCGTTATGTCCAGTGTGTATTTTGCCTTGCGTCCATTGCTTGCAGATCCAAATCCTCTGTACCAGATAAAGAGATCAGAAAATGGATGGAAGTAAAGGCACTGTGTGGATGAAATTATACAGTGTTAAAAACCCACTATGAGATGGCAGCATCTCACTGAGGATAAATTATTTTATAGTGCTGGCTTAAGGAAACAGCCTTTCCACCTCTCTTGCACAACAGTATCCATACCTAGTTGGTTATTCAAACAAATTGCCAGTTCAATGTTAGCAACAACACAAAATCTAAAATACAATCCTCATTTCAGTATCTATGTAAACATACAGTCTGTTAACTTCCTCATCTTCCTCTGCAGTCTACAACATCTCCTTTCATTTTGTCAAAAGCATGCCTAACCCTATTAGGAAGTGATCTTGTTATCGGTGTATTCCTTGACTTTCCCCAAATTATCTTTTTCCTACCTACATCTCTAGTCTTACATCCCGCAATAATTCAGCCAACACTTAATTCCTCAAAAACTGTTTGTGTTAATTTGTTTAAATCACAAAATATTGTATGTAAATACTGGCCATGTAGTACTCTGCACTGTGGAATAATAGTTTTTTTTTTTAAAGGAACTAGAGAATCTAAGAACTAGAGAAATCAAGATAGGCATTTTTTCTAGAATTAATAAATGCATATCCTGTTCACTGGGGTAATTAAATCCATACTGAGCAATCTCCAATATGTTCAGAATTTGACAGCCAGAATCCTGAACGGGATGCATTACGCCTGTCTTGAAGACCTTGCACTGGCTTCCTATCAGGTTTCGAGTCAACTCAAAATCCTCATCCTCATTCAGTACCTATCTGGCTTATCTGGCTACTCCCCACCTTGCAACCTTTGTCCTTCTGACTCTGGTCTTCTAGCTGTCCTCAAGAACATCTACATTCTGTGGGTGACGGGACCTGCTCTAGCTGCACCCCAGAGCTCTCAATTTGTATTCCCAGTGATATCAGAGTTACCTACCCTGAGTGCATATAAATCTAACCTCAAAATCTTTCTTTTCAGAAGACTTATTTAGTGTCTGTATCTGCTTAATTTTCTAATTTCGGTAGCACTTCTAACTGCTTGTCTTTCTTATATGTATTACTTTGCAATCTGTGGTCCTTATAACTGTTTTTACACCAACTGTATTGCTTTGAGATGCTACTTTTAAAGGTGCTATATAAAATAAAGTTTATTATTGTTATAGAGAAACATGATCAGATCTTTCCCTGGTTCAGAAAAAAAGATCTAAAGTATACTAGTCTTTCACTCTTCTCGCACCCTCTTTGCTAAATGGCTTTGCATACTAATCTGATCAATTTTCTGTACTTTCTCTATCCTGCTAGATTTATAATTATTCTGAAAATCTTCTTGAAATTAGTCATTTCTAAATACCTGTTTTCACTGTTAACATCTTGCCCCAACTCTACAACAAAATATACACTTATCTCAACCTGACAATTCATCCTGCTACCAACATTGAATGAAAAAAATCTTTAGATTTCTATACTTATGTCTTTAGTGGTTTCATTAGTGACAAAGGCTAAAAAGAAAAGGAAAAATGTATTTTACGTGTTGCAAAAAACTGACTTGCTTCAACAAAATATATTTACAAATCCTTTCACCTGGCAATCTACTGGAATGCCCAACTATCTAAGAAGCCCAACATGAAACAACAGAGAGGTGGCTCTGTGACTAAGGCTGCACCTGTGGCTGGAAGGTTGCCGGTACAAATCCCACGGGCGGCAGAGGAATCCTACTCCGTTCGGCCCCTGAGCATGGCCCATAACCCCAGCTGCTTCAGGGGTGCTGTACAATGGCTGACCCCGCACTCTGACCCCAAGCTTCTCTCTCCCCATCTGTGTGCCTGTGTGTCTCATGGAGAGCAAGCTGGGGTTTATTTATGAATATTTATGAATAATTAAATTATTTATGATGAAGGTGGAAGGTTGTGTACTTTTGTCCAACTGAGTAATCTTGCTTTTATAAAATATAATGACTTTTTAATGTTAAATGATTAACATGCTGTAATACACAGTTTCTGTAATACACAAGGTCTAAAAAGTACACAACTTAAATTCTTAATTGGAAAAATCTTGTCACTCTGCAGTGACTGGGATTCGAAACCAGGCATTTTCTGGTGACAGCTCAAATGCTGTACATAAGACGTTACGCTTTATTAGCTCCACCTGGCGGTGTTACAAGGTCTTACAAGATGCTTCCGGATACTACTATCATAATTTAATTTTCATGCGGTATAATGGGGTAAGATGCGCCTTGCCTACCGCGTTTTAACACAGCGTACTCCGCGCATTTTGAATGGCTGGATCTGTAGCTCTCATGAAAAGTGTTCTCTGTGTCTAACTGCACAAATAAAAAGTTTATTATTGCCATACATACTCGCCAAACTGGTCTTCACAATCCAACCCCTTGTTCAAAATCTTGATTTTTAACTCCAAATCACACACTTGCCATTCCCCTTCATACTTCAGGGTTCTCACTCATTTTTACCAACAAAATTCCAAATTTCCTTGGCTATATTTCTGCATTTTATTGAATAAGTTGGCCTTACAACTGTGGGATTTAGAGCAGTGGTATTTAACTCATTCCTTGGGCCTCTGTCCTGCACATTTTTCCTCTAACCCAACTTACACACCTGATTCAACAAAAGGTTTGGTGATTTGATGATAAGTTCGTTCAGGTGTACAAGAGCTTGGTTAGAGGAAAAATATGAAGGTCAGTTAAATACCACTAAGCATAAATGTGGACTACAACTTTCACAAATATATCTGAGTGTAAGGTCTCCCTTATGATTTATTTCTTAAGATATTTGTAAAAAACAACATCAAAACAACAAATCTAAGTGTCTACAGTTGCTATAGAGTTTTTGGATACAAAACTTTCATTTGAAATACATTCTTGCATAGTATTACTTCACTTTTACCTGAACAGCATGTTTACTCCTAGAACATGAGCCACATTCCTCATCAGTAAGCCCACATAGGCTAGGAAAATATATGGCCCTTTTCATTCCTGAAACTGCATAAACACAAACTCTTTTCTGTCTGAATAACTTCGAGTACCTCAACATCCTCACAAATTGAACATAGTTCGTGCAATATTAATATTGAAAGGTGTAATTTGTGAATTAGATCAGTCTCAATGGATTTTTAAGTCCACCCTCTAAGAGCGTGTTGTGCATCTTCTCCATAATGTCCCGAGCAGTGGTATGCGCCATAAACTCTGCAAATATGCGGATTTTGTTTCGAAACAAGAAAAAGTAGCTGCGATTTCTCTGTCACGGAACATTGTTTTAAACAGCTGCCCAACGATGTGTACGAAAAATGTGAATCAATTACTTTCAGTGCCAGCAGAAAGTCCATAATTGATAGACAATGATATCTGTGCTTGCAGCTGCTAATGAGTTGAAAAAGGTGCCGATTCCAATTGTTTCTCTTGCAGTCTTATCATTGTAAATGTGCATTTTTACCCTTTGCATGACTTATTAGTGCAGATTCACCCAAATTCTTCATGTCAAAAGTTTTCCCGCATAATTTACATCTCGCACGTCCTGGGTCTTCATCTTTTTGGAGCCATAGCTTGTATTTTTCATCTGCTAACCAGAGGTCACTGAAAACACATTTACGCGGCATTTTGACACGGGCGCTTGGCTAGCTTATGACTCACTATAAAATTCCCGCGAGAGGGTCTGACGCGACACCATAATGCGTAATTTTTGCTATGGCAACGCCACAGCCACTTTTTAAGCTTGCTAACTTATTTACAAAATTACATGACAGAGCATTATAATATGGGGTCAATTTTAAAAAAATCCATAACTTTTCCAAAACTTAATGGATACTTCCGCATTTTTTAAAACTTTTCCAGGTCTCGAAAATGAAATTTCATTTTCTATAACTTTTTCAGGATTTCCATGACGTGGGAACCCTGATACTTGTTTCTTTCCTCTCCGTATCTGTTTCCACATGATAAATAAAGCATTATCCTTCTATAGGCTATGTGAATAGTTCCCAGGTGTGTGCCACGCTAGATTTGAATTTATGAAATTTCCCACATTACGAGTCACTTAGATTTGATTGATAAATGTAGTACATTAGTAATCACAACACATTACCTTGGCTGCTCATACACTGTACATCTTATCTTCAGTTGTTGTGACCAGTTTTTTAAACATTTACATGCTATGTAAATTAAAGTTTGTTAAATAACAATCTTTGTTTACTTTCAATCAGTCTAAGTTGTATTGATAAACAAATTGGTTCTACATGTTCTACATGTAGAAAACAGAAGTGGAAGCTCAGACTAAATCACTAATGCTCCTAACACATCTATCATAATCCCTGACTTAGATGTCAGAAAAAGAATGGCTCACCTGCTTTTGTGCTTGAATTTACTGTATTTTAGATTCCCTCAGCCAAAAAATGTGTGACTTTAAAGACAGCCTTTTCCATTGATTCACTGACAATTTTATGGAAAAACAACCAAGCAGCATTTCAAGATACAACAAACCCTTTTTTTTTTTACACAGGAAAATTGTTTTATGAAATTAAGGCACAAATACAATTTTTTTTTAAAGAGAGATGTTGACAACACAGCCTGATCTTGAGATTTTAAAACCAACAAAGGTGAATTCTGTATTTACACCAATACTTTATAATCATTTACAATTCAGACAATTTTCTGCACTTTCAAAAAGTCCTTTGTAAATGCTTTAGTGCACTGTAGATTAACTTACCTTGTGTAGGTGCAGACAGACTGGGCACAGACAATGCTGCATCACTGGTATAAGCTGACAGGTTCTCACTAGAGGGCGAGGGTTTAAGAGGTTGCAGGAGGGAACTCTGTCCTTGTTCACTGATCATCCCAGGGACCAGAAGACCCTGATGTGATGTGAACACAGAGGGTGCACTCTGTGCTGATAAAGTGCCTGCAAACCCAACAAGCAGATATTTAAATCATATCAAATGATTTATTCTTTATTCTGTTAACACAATTTTCTTCCACAAATAAATATGGAACATGCTTTCTAACAAACAATTCTTTCTGCAATAGAAAGGATTCAGTTCCTATTTCTTTTACAACTGCTTTCAAAATAGTAACTAAATTTTAAGATATTTAATGTTAGTTGCATCACAGTGATCAGATCTCATTTTCAAAAACATACCTTAAGTTTTTTCAAATCTGAGGAAACAGATGATCTAATTCTCAATTAAGTTCAGCTGATGGTAATTAAGAGGAGAAAAGCTTTTACTTACAGCTTTGATTTTTAATTCAATAACTCAGTTAATTTTAAGTTTTAAAACATGTATGAATGCAATTTCAGCAACGCCATGACATGTTTTCCTGAAATGTTTGCACCAGAAATCTCTCGTATTGTTTTCAACCAGATATTACCATGTTTGTATTATTTTGTTAAAAAATGAAATATAGAATGGGATAAACAGTAATTAAAATAATTATAACCCCCAACTGTCAATGTCAAGAATATACACAAGCACTTGGTATAGTTTGAGGGTCTAAGTTCTTTATTCTCTGATACAACTCTGAAGAAAGCTATATGATACCTTAATAGGCCAAGTCAAACGTAGCTCTCTAATTAGGGGATTTTGGCCCCCAGCTTCTATTTGTTCTCCTCAACCATTGCCAGAAGCTTCCCTTTTCTGCCTCTTCTGCTAGATCCTTTGCTGTCCTCTTTAATGTTATGCCAGCCACTCCCACATCCCAGAGGAGGTGTAACATTGATGTTCTCAAAAAGCCTTGGCATTCCGCTTCCACAGGGTAGATTAAGGGTCTCCAGCCACCTTGTCTGCATTCTGCTGCAAACTCTCTTTCTTTTATAGAGATCCAGCCATTCAGAATGCTCGCTGGATAATGCAATTCATTGCAGTCCCCATGCTGCGGGTTACAGCACGTTTTTAAAAATACTCCTTGTAAAATCACCAGGTGGAACAGTGAAAACTTAATGCGGCAATTTTTAATCTTGGTCAAAGCTGAAGGACAATCTTTTTCCAATTATAGAAGTAGTATACTGTTGAGACTTATAGTAATTTTAAACTGTATATTACTGTATATTAAATTAACTAAAAAAGAGAGTAGGGCTATTTTACAAAAACAACATTACTCGGTTTGTTGTTGAAAAATAGATTATTCTACTGTGGCTTGTTGTGAACCAATGTGCTTCTTTCAGGTTTAAATCCACATTGAGATAATCTATATTGTGCCTTATTGCTTTAAAATTTCACTTGAAAAATATATTTTACACATACTGTACTGTAGTGGCTTTAAAGCCACATGGTCTCATACTAATGTACGTACAGTAGATGGTTGTGGTGGCTAAATATAAAAAAAATACAAAGTACACAAAATATTCCACCTTTTTCATAAACATTTTATGCATCTTTAATTCAGTAACTTGTGGTTGTTATTTTGGAAATGTTTTGATGTGCTTGTTCTAACTACACAAAGTTGATATACTTCATAAAAAAGGATAATGTTTTATCCTTTGATATGTACAATTACCAGAAATGTGAATATAGTTTGCATAGTATTTATCATGCATGATATCATGAGAATCCAATTATATTCTTCATTGTATTAACAGTTTCAACAGATACTTCACACCAAAAAAAAAAAGTTTTTTATTATACTGGGCGTTTGAAGATGCAGAGTGAGATTACCGAGACAGATAATTTTAGTAAATATGTTGACAAATGTCTGGATTTTCAGTTTCACAAGGGAAGATAAAATTGTATCCAGCTTCGAATAAGCTATATGATGTTGCCCTGTGAAGTTTTTGGAAAAGAGGGTTGGTGGGCAGCTTCCCTCACCATGTAGTTCCCATAGAGTAGTAATTTTAATATAAGAGAGAATTACTGTAATCTTGCAAGTCCGTTTTTTTTTAAACGTTTGTTATCACTATTCTTGTGAATACACTTTGTATTGTTAATTTGTGTCTGCTTGTTAGTTGGTGGGCAAATGCTCGAGGTGAAAATTCTTCCACGAGAAGGGTACCTTTAAAGTAGAGAAGACAGCACTAAAAAATGTTGGCGCTCCATCAGTTTAAATCCCCTGGCCAAATACTCAGTATGTGCAGTAAAAATTCAAACTGAACTAAAAACTACACATCCCAGTTAACAATGCAATGCTTGTGATCAGAGTTTACGAAACAGGGCGAAAAATCAGTCACATGAATTTGGAGCTTCATTTCGAAAGCTTATCCTATCAGCAACAAAGCAACATTTACACGATAGGCTACCTCAAACTGTCTGGTGCTAGGCTCTGTATGTTGCTTAAGCCATTCCTATTTGGCATTTTAGTCATAGAGGTGGGAAGACGACCCCCCTTCCCTCTGGCTGTCTGACTTGTCCCCATTTTGAACCGTTCTGTGTCCGAATCGCAGCCGGCAGAGAGAGTAGGGAGAGACACAGACAGAAAAAAGCGAATCCTAGCTACAATACATTTATATATTTTTGTGGTAAGGGGAAGCAAAACATCAGTATTTCCTGCTAGTTATTTGTGTAAGATTTATAGTGGAAATCTGAGCCTCAATATTAACTTACAATTTTGACAGAGGAATGTTGGATATGTGTACTTTTTCCGGAGCAGAAATACAAATATAAAATAATGGCTTTTTGATATCTGAAATCAACATTCAGAGAACAACTATTTGTGTTTATATAGAATAAGTAATTAGAAATTTGAGCAATGTAATTTCTTATTCTGCAGTGAAATTTCAAGATCATACCAAAGACAGCACTAGGTCTGCTTATCATAGACGTTCAGGAAAGGGTGAATTGACAAATTATATCAAGTGCAATAATTTGGTGATCAGTAATAACAGTTTAAAATGTTCTTTGATTAATGTAAAGATTCAGGAAAGTTCACAATTAAATGGTTTAGATGTAAAAATACAAAAAAAATTGTGCAAAAAGTTTTAGAAATGGAGCAGGAATTAATCTGCAATGAGCAAACAGGGAAAAAAAAGTGACCAGACATAAGGGCAGAAAAGGAATGCAGGAAGACCTGCAAAAGCTTAAATATACAAAAACATCACAGAAAGCTACACGTTACAAAGAACATGTAAACACTGTTTACATAGATACTGAAATGAGATTAAACATTTTAATCAAAACGTATTAAATGCATACGTATTTTTGATTTTGTGTAGCAGTTAGAATTAAACTGTTTGTTAAATGCATATAAATAGAGTAGGCAAGCATACAGTAGCTGATCCATGGAACCAGCATCTTAAGATGTTTAGAGGCAATTTGTTTAAATTAGCTATGGATATTGATGTGCCAGAGAGGAGGAAAGGCTGCTTCCTTTAGCCAACATTTTAAAAATTTAACTCATAGTAGGTTTCTTTTTTTATAATCTTTCCACGCGTAATGTCATTAGGAAGTATAATGAGCTAACTGGTGAGAAAGCCATGATTAATGATCATTAAAAGACTTGAAGTTTAAAGAAATGATTTACAGATGCAGCCATTCAAAACAAGCGGGCGATACCGCATTATTTTGCAGTGCGCTTTACGCAGTCTACCGTGAGTTACCGTAAATTCTCCTATAGTACCGCAAGTGAAATAATAGTATCCGGAAATTCCGCAAGGATAATAAAGCTCAACCTCTCATGTTTGAGCTGTCGCCATCAAAGTCTTTAACAAAGATATTACTAATAGTATTAATAATGAATGACCTTGGACAAGCTGTAAACTCAAAGTATTGCCCTGGTCCACATTCTTTTTTTCATTGACCGT